TGCGCTAAGAAAAACTATACTGAATTCTTAAGAATGGAATCGATGCAGATTTAGAGTCCTGCCGCGAGATCGCGAGTGTGTAGCGATCACGCCATGACTTCGCGAGTATATAGCGATCGCGCTGTGATTATGAAATCGCGATTGGACTCCTACAAAATATTTTTTCTAAAAAACATGAGTTTACCAAGATCCCGACGTGATAACGTGACTTTGTAGCGATCGCGACGCGGCAGTCATGAGTTTATAGTGATTGCGATCGTGACATCGCGATCGCGTCGCGGCTTAGACGCGACCGTCGACCTGGGTAAGTAAATTAGGCTTACCTGTTTCAGATCCAATTGAAATGTGTTTGATGCGTTGAAACTGGTTTTGCATGGAAAAATTCTGTACTTCAATTTTCCTTTTTAGGCTATTATTCAATGAAGAATTATGTCATCTGACTCTTCAAAAACAAATGAAATGGGCGATTCGAATTTGACAAATTTGTCACGCCGTGATACAACACAAATGGGCGATCATGTTGATTCCAAAACTGCTCAAGGAAGATCGTGTGACGCTAGTCATTCTTCAACAAATACAGCGAACAGTGATTTTTACAAAGGTAACAAGGATCCACAAACAATCGAGAAAGTGAAACAAAACATGGAACAACAGCAGGATCCATCCTCGAAGAAACCCGAAGAAAAGAAATAAACATTTCGATACGGAAGAAATCACCACAGTTATTCTTCTGCTTTTGTGTTGAAATTCTTCATTGTTATGCCATTCTAAGATGAAAATAAAACCGCAAAGGCGATGGCTTCTGTTTGTTCTTCTATCATTTTATAAGAAATAAACAGATGTTGGTGGTTGCCAATACTGTTTGTAATTATAGTCGATGCATCGGTATAGGCACAAGAATCAACACAAGCAAATTAATAATTGTTCTAACGAAGCCGTTAAATGACAGATAGGTTGCAGTGACAAGGTGATGCAATGAACGTGTGAGCTTTGTTGCATGAAACAAAAGATTATAATAGCTACATGATTATAAAGTAGAAATGAATAATAATCGTGTGGATTACATCAAAATTTTATAGTTAAATATTTTAAATTGTTATAACCAGTTGAGACAAGTACATTACGAAGCAGCCATTTTTCGCGACACGACATTTCGCGAACATTTATTTATTGGAAAAGAAGAATAAATGAGCTTGGTTTTGTATTTTGCATATCATGTTTTCACATCTGAGTAAAGTGTGGTAAATAGTTATTATGTGATACAGTTACAGATATCCAATTTCATGGCTTATCGTATTTGATTGGTTTTCTCTGCGGTACACGATAAACTGAAGCTCACTATTTATCAGCATTGGTTTGTATAGAATCAGTTTTACAGCAGTGCAGAACCCGTGACACGACATTACCCCAAACAGAATTCCGACTCTTTCACGAATTTCTCATAGTACAAATTTGGGTATTTCCAGCAGTGTATTGTGGGAGGTGTGCATGTGGACAATGTCAGAGTAAGTTCGAAAAGTACTTTCACGGAAATCATATTTTCATGATGCGAAACTGTATATCTGCAACTGTATCACATAATGACTATTCACCACATAACTTCACCCAAGTTTGAAAAAATGATGTACAATACAAAACCAAACTCATTTATTCTTCTTTTCCAATAAACAAGTCTTCGCGCAAATGTTGGTGTATTGCCATTTTCCGCAATAATATTAACGAGTTTAATTCATTACCTAAACTAATTATTTGTTTTTGAACCACCAAAAATAGTTGGACTTTGTCCGTTGGTGTTAACCCTTTGGGGACCGACTTTTTTTTTCAAGATAAAAACCATTTTCACTCAGAAATACGGCTATAGCTATAGGTTTTAGGCGGAGTTTTATCGCCAGAACTGAGTTTTATTGGAGGACTATTTA